GGGATCTCACCATCTATGCTTAAGCGTGGCGGGACCGCCACGCTTTGGCGAAAAAACGAAATGACCGCCACGATTACAAAAAATAATCAAAGATTGCACCATGCTTAAAATGTTAACGCCACGCTCAAAAATATGTACTAAGTATATTTTATACAAAACAAGAAACACCAAAGTGTCTAACTACAGGAGGTTCCACAATGTTCCCATGGGGAACATTACTTGTATAATCGCATATCGTGAGGCACTGCCTTCAATGAAAGCCCAACTGTGCGTGCCAGTATTACCTGTGAACTCAGGGAGGTCCCTGGTAGGCTAATGGATAGGGCGCGTTCAGTAGGCCTAACGTACATGCATGACGATTGTAATATTCAGTGAAGTGTCCGTTTTTTATGAACGTTGATTGATGATACAGCAATTATTATTTGAATTTAAATGAATTACTTATACAACACGAGGCCCGAGGATTTTCGATGGGGTGGTGCGTTTTGCAACCGAAGTGGACCTTACAATGGGCGACTGCCTGAGGATCCCCGCGAGGGTAGGGCGAATCTTCTGGAAGCTCTGACAAATCAGCATTTTGAGGGCCTTTTTTAATGGATTTCTAAAATCCATAAATTGTAATATCCTATTTAAAATTTTCATTCATTTGAGTATTGTCTAGGGACCTACAGTAAAGCAGGAAAAATAGAGGGTGGGTGAAGGGAGAAACTTGCACAGACAGATGGTCAATACCACCTTAGCCCCACCATGGTTGGGGCTGAGGTAAGAAAATTTATGATTATGGCACCTTAAAGTGGCCGGAAATGGCACTCTCAGACAAACTTTAATTATGATTTTTCTTTTTCTCAATTTCTTTTATAATTTTAGGAGGCTCTCCCCCTTGAATCCACCACTGTGAAATTATAATTTTTCATGTCCTTTACATCTGTAGGCCTACAATCACTGTAGCTGATAATTTCCAACAGATTTCGTAGCACATTATTAAAAATCAACGGGTAGAAGAGCGGGCAAAAAAAAGTAATGCATACTATAGCACTTCGCGATAATTAGGAACAATTTTAGTGCAATAATAGGTTTTAAAAAGTGGACTTTTTGAAATTTGGTGGTCCAGGGGCAGAGGCCTGGAGGGGGTTTGTAAGAAAAGCGACAAAGTAGCATTTTGAGGGTCTTACATAATAGATTTCTCTAACACATGAATATAATTCATGAATATTTCATTTAAATTTTCATTAATTTGGGTGTTTTTGGGACCTGAAAAAGTAACATTATTATGTCCTGTACCTGGTCTATAGATAACATTTTTCATATTATATAGATCAATCTGCAATCACCGGAGACGATCAATTGCTAACAAATTTCATACCACATTATTAAAAATCAACGGTTAGATAAGCTGGCAAATACAAAATGCAATGCATGGTATAGAATTTTGTGATAATTAGGAACGATTTTGTGAAATCATAGGTTTTAAAAAGTGGACCTTTTGGAATTGGGGAGAGGGGGAGGGGTGCGTCCGCACCCCGCCTGCCCCTGCCTACGGGCCTGAACACCTTCTCTTTTTTTTAACTGAATTTCGGCTGGTTTTTCAAAAAAAAAAAAAAAAAAAAAAAAAAAAAAAAAAAATGGTAAAGCTAAACCATTGCCTACCCAGTGAACGTTTTACTGATAACTCACGGTTAATCGTGAAATTATACCGCGATTGAAAATGGACGGTTCCTTACATTCCACGTGGTGTTATATCTTCTAGCAATTCTCAAGTTTTCCTTATGAATGTACGCAAGGACGACCCCCTAGTTTGAGAAGATTTTTTATTCACATATATTTTTCAAGTTTCGACCGTGGAAGGCGCTATATAAATATAAAACCATAAACCATAAACCATATCATAAGTATATGTAACATACCTTCGACCAAACAATGACTTCCGTTGGATCCACCCTGGCACTGAGGGCGACGCTCACAAAAGATTTCTGTTGGGTAGCAAAAAGCGTTGTTGTCCAGTTGACACATATCGCTGTTCAACTTACATTCGTAGCCAACATCAGTTTTATACCGACTCTCTAGTTAAAATACATAGGTTTATAAAAGACTATTTAGCAAGAGTATCACACCATGTGTGTGGTACAAAACTACGTATTAATAAAATGTCTAATCAAATGTAAAGGGTAAAGGTAGGTATAGGTGTTTCTCCATACCAAAGTAACTACTAGGCCTATGAGGAATGACTAGTGTTGTCCGAAAGCTCTGGTTCTATTTCTGGCTGTTTACTTACGTTTACTTTTTAGCTGTTGCTTATCATTTTTGTATCTCTACCGAGATCCAGCCATTGTTCCCACAGCATTGTTGTTTTTCAGTATTTTGCCTTTTAATCTATATAT